TACACTTCCCTCCTCAGTCCTCAGCTGATTTCAGTCGCTGCAAACTGAATGTAAAGCACAAAAGTAATTGGCGCTCAATGGAGAGAGATCCAAAGAGAGGAGGAATTTTGCCCTTCCTTGAAGGTTCAGTGGACTTATATGTTCTCCCCTATTTTCTGTTTTGCTATTATTTATATGCTCAGTAAGGGATTTTGGTGGTAGAATATGTGTTGTAAGCAGGCACACATGGCTATGGTAGGATTAGTTAGGGAAGACTTGTTTATTGCTTTCATGCTGCTGAAACCCAACCCCAAAAGTCTCTTTTTCTTAAGGTTTCCTCTGCTATCTTCTCAATGCCAATGCTGCTAAAAAAAGTTCCAGCTAGGCAGAGGAAGAAAAGGGAGCTAGGCAAGGAGCTCTACTGTCACAGACATTTTTAGCTGAAGCATGCCAGTATAAATCCTATATAATATATAGTCAGAAAGATAGGCAAGCAATTATCTTTCTGGCTTCATCTCACTGTGTAATATTTTTGACCTACTTTATAATGTTGTTGTAAAAGTTCCTGGGATAATGTAAACCAGCTGAGACTCATTGTGTGTCTTGCCAGGAAAGTGGAATGGTAGGGTTGCCAGAGTGAAAACTGGAGAGGTCTCCTGTATTTTTTAATGCTCACGCAAAAGGGGAAAATTCATCAGGTGATGCTTATCATGTAACCAGGTAACAAGGAACATCCACTGAGATTCCATTTTGCGTGTCAGAGTTTCCTGTTGAATTCCACTTATAGCAACACTATGCATTTTATAGGGTTTTCTTCGGCAAGAAAAACCCAGAGGTGGTTCACCAGGTCCTTTCTTTTAAATAGAGTATACAGCACTCTATTTCTGTATGGGATTCATTCATGGTGTCCCATCCAAGTACTAACTGAGCCTATCCTGGTTCGTTTCTAAGATCAGATAGTATCTGGTGCGATTTTACATACAGCAGTATAAGATAGTGGGGGGGTCGGGCCCAAGGGGGGAGGGGTCACGAGGGGGCTTCAGAGGGATCATCACAATATCATACGAAAGCTGACTGGCACAACCTGGGGATCACAGCCAGACACAGTGAAGACATCTGCCCTTGCGCTATGCTACTCTGCTGCTGAGTACGCATGCCCAGTGTGGAACACATCTCACCACACTAAAACAGTGGATGTGGCTCTTAATGAGACATGCTGCATTATCACGGGGTGTCTGCACCCTACACCACTGGAGAAATTACACTGCTTAGCCGGTATTGCAACACCTGACATCCGCCGGGAAGTAGCAGCCGATAGTGAAAGGACCAATGCAGTGACATCTCCGGCTCATCCCTTGTTTGGGTATCAGCCAGCACGTCAATGACTTAAATCAAGAAATAGTTTTCTAAGATCTACAGAGACACTAGCTGGAACACCTCAGCAAGCGAGAGTCCAAAAGTGGCAGGCTCAAACCCAGAACCTCAATCCAAGGCTGATACCAAATGAGAGACTCCCCCCTGGGCACACAGAAGACTGGGCGACTTGGAAGGCCCTGAACAGACTGCGCTCTGGCACCACGAGATGCAGAGCCAACCTTAAGAAATGGGGCTACAAAGTGGAATCCACGACATGCGAGTGTGGAGAAGAGCAAACCACTGACCACCTGCTGCAATGCAACCTGAGCCCTGCCACATGCACAATGGAGGACCTCCTTGCGGCAACACCAGAAGCACTCCAAGTGGCCAGATACTGGTCAAAGGACATTTAATCAACTACCAAGTTTGCAAACTTTGGGGTTTTTTTAACCTATTTGTTTGTTTTGTTCTATTAGAAATATAATACAATGGTCTGGTTGCCCTTGGCACGATAAATAAATAAATAAATAAATAAATCAGAAAACATATATTTCTGGTGGTCTTAGTTACCCCATTGGCAGAAAAAACTGAAGATCTCTCTGTCTGTCCTTCTATTCCTTTTTGGAAACAGACAATGAATCCTCCCATCAAAAGCCCTCCTCTGCTGTGATTGGCTGGCCTCTCAACCATGGGGAGGGCTGTTTCTGAGAAGAGGGGAGGGGAGAGCAAGCGTGCTTGGCATATGGTGCGCATGCACGTCAAGGGAGAGCATGCGAGGCTTGAGGGGGGCTCATGCCAGCAATTCCCTTCAAGACATGGGGGTTGTGTGTGGGAAGTTTGGCCCAATCCTATCATTGGTGGGGATCAGAATGTTCTTTGATTGTAGGTGAACTATAAATCCCAGCAACTACAACTTCCAAATGTCAAGGCCTAGTTTCTCCAAACTCTACGAGTGTTCACATTTGGGTATATTGAATATTCGTGCCAAGTTTGGTCCTGATCCGTCATATTTTGAGTTCAAGTTTGGTTCAATTCCATCATTGGTGGAGTTCAGAATGCTGTTTGATTGTAGGGTGACTATAAATCCCAGCAACTACAACTCCCAAATGACAAAATCAATCCCCTCCCAACCCTGCCAATATTCAAATACTCAAATATCAGATATTTACATTACAATTCATAACAGTAGCAAAATTATAGTTATGAAGTAGCAATGAAAATAATTTTATGGTTGGGGGTCACCACAACATGTGCTGGATGGGGTCACACTCCCCCTAAAGGCGCAGGTTCGCAGTCTGGGAGTTCTCGGCAGTGGTCAGGGGAGCTTTTGCACAACTAAAACTTGTGCGCCAGCTGCGCCCATACCTTGGGAAGTCTGACTTGGCCACGGTAGTCCATGCTTTGGTTACATCCCACTTAGATTACTGCAACGCTCTCTACGTGGGGTTGCCTCTGAAGACTGCCCGGAAGCTGCAGCAAGTCCAATGCTCGGCAGCCAGACTACTAACCGGTGCTGGGTACAGGGAGTACACCACTCCGCTGTTACACCAGCTCCACTGGCTGCCGATTAGCTTCCGAGCACAATTCAAAGTGCTGGTGTTAACCTATAAAGCCCTAAACGACTCTGGCCCTGTTTACCTCTCCGAACGTATTCTCCCCTATGAACCATCAAGATTATTAAGATTGTCTGGAGAGGCCCTGCTCTCGGTCCCACTGGCGTCACAAGCGCGTCTGATGGGGACGAGGGACAGGCCTTCTCGGTGGTGGCCCCGCGACTCTGGAACTCTCTCCCACCGGAGTTCAGAACCGCCCCTTCTATCCTGACATTTAGGAAACAGGTGAAGATTTGGTTATGGAGACAGGCATTCGACGAGTGAGCCAACACCCTGAGATATGGATGGAGGATGATGAGCAACGATTTCAGTGTGACGACTGACTATTATATAGTTATTGATTGTAATTGCCGTGTTAATGTTTTACTGTAATATGTATTATGATGTTTTATTGATTGTATGTGATATTATGGTTCGAAACCAGTGTGAGTCCCTCAAGAGAGGTGAGAAGGCCGGTATACAAAATTTTTAAATAAATAAATATGGAGACAGGCTTTCGATGAATGAGACAACACCCTAAGATTTGGATGGAAGATGACGTATAATCGATTTTAGTATGACGACTGACCACTGTAGTTTTGAATATATATGTTGTTTAAATATGTTATTTTAATATGAACTATGATGTTTTACCGATTGTATGTGTTTTTATGGTTGGAAACCGGTCTGAGTCCCTCAAAGAGGTGAGAAGGTCGGTATATAAAACTTTGAAATAAATAAATAAATAAACACGAGGAAGTGTATTAAGGGGTCATGGCATTAGGAATGTTGAAAAACACTGCCCTAAAAGTTCCAGGAGATAAATCGACATACTAAAGGAACTCACCAATAGTCATGCATAGGTTTGTCAGATATCAAGGCCCTGTGATGAGTCTCCAGTTTTGGTGGGTTCATTTCCAAGCAAGAAGAAAAGACTGTGTGCAAATCTTCAGCTCGGGTATTTGGAAGAAAAAACAACAACAATGTGTTTCTTTGCAAGGCTTAATAGACTGCAACTATGAAAGACCCTGCAGAGGGTCAGTGTACAGCCAATGCTCCACAAGTGCTGGCATGAAGGGCACAGGGCCCTCAGTAAAGTGAAAAAGTGTGACTAAAGAAATTGCTTTTTTTTTACTTTTAAATTTTTTTGTATGGAAGCTATATTTTAATCGTCACATTTGCAACGGTGAGGCCCAAACCACAGTACACGAATTACAGCGCAAAACCCACCATGGCCGCTGCCTGGGACTGGGACTTCCCCCTCCCGGCCGCAGCAGCTTCAAGTGAGCCATATCCATGGGCTTTTCCTTTAAAAAACAGCCATTAGATCAGTGTTTCTCAACCTGGGTGTCGGGACCCCTGGAGGGGTACGAGGGGGTGTCAGAGGGGTCACCAAAGACCATCAGAAAACACAGTATTTTCTATTGATCATGGGGGTCCTGTGTGGGAAGTCTGGCTCAATTCTATCATTGGTGAGGTTCAGAGTACTCTTTGCTTGTATGTGAACTATAAATCCCAGTAACTACAGTTCCCAAATGTCAAGGTCTATTTTCCCCAAAAACCACCAGTGTCTACATTTGGGCATATTGAGGATTCGTGCCAAGTGTGGTCCAGATCCATCATTGTTTGAGTTCACAGTGCTCTATGGATGTAGGTGAACTACAACTCCCAAACTCAGGGTCAATGCCCAGCAAACCCTTCCAGTATTTTCTGTTGGTAATGGGAGTTATGTGTGCCAAGATTGGTTCAATTCAATTGTTGATGGAGTTCAGATGCTCTTTGATTGTAGGTAAACTATAAATTCCAGCAACTACAATTCCAAAATGACAAAATCAATCCTCCCCACAACCCCATCAGTATTCAAATTTGGGTGTATCGAGTATTTGTGTCAAATTTGGTCCAGTGTATGAAAATATATCCTGCATATCAGATATTTATGTGACAATTCATAACAGTAGAAAAATTAGTTATGCAGTAGCAACAAAAATAATGTTATGGTTGAGGGTCACCACAACATCAGGAACTGTATTAAGGGGTCGTGGCATTAGGAAGGTTGAGAAACACTGTATTAGATAGAAAAAACAGCTCCCAAGCGCTTGGTTTCCCTGGCTGAGGGTGCAAAGAGCCAGGGCTTGTTCACATTTAAAAAGAGGCATCGGCGGGCCTCCCACCCCTTTCCCACGACAGCCTACCTTCTGGAGGGATCCTTGTTCTTACTGCTTGCCCAGGGCTTTGTCTAGGTTGTTCTTGATGGTGTCCAGGAAGTCGGTCGTGTTGATAAAGCGCTCGTTCAGTTTCACATTGCTAAGTCCGTGGATGCAGCCAGCCAGGTCCTTTGTCATCGCGCCGCTCTCCACTGTCTCAACGCAGACCTTCTCCAGAGTCTGAGCAAACTTGATGAGGTCTGGGTTGCTGTCATAGAATCATAGAATCATAGAATCATAGAAACAAAGAGTTGGAAGAGACCTCATGGGCCATCCAGTCCAACCCCCTGCCAAGAAGCAGGAATATTGCATTCAAATCACCCCTGACAGATGGCCATCCAGCCTCTGCTTAAAAGCTTCCAAAGAAGGAGCCTCCACCACACTCCGGGGCAGAGAGTTCCACTGCTGAACGGCTCTCACAGTCAGGAAGTTCTTCCTCATGTTCAGATGGAATCTCCTCTCTTGTAGTTTGAAGCCATTGTTCCGCGTACTAGTCTCCAAGGAAGCAGAAAACAAGCTTGCTCCCTCCTCCCTGTGGCTTCCTCTCACATATTTATACATGGCTATCATATCTCCTCTCAGCCTTCTCTTCTTCAGGCTAAACATGCCCAGCTTTCCTAAGCCGCTCCTCATAGGGCTTGTTCTCCAGACCCTTGATCATTTTAGTCGCCCTCCTCTGGACACATTCCAGCTTGTCAATACCTCTCTTGAATTGTGGTGCCCAGAATTGGACACAATATTCCAGATGTGGTCTAACCAAAGCAGAATAGAGGGGTAGCATTACTTCCTTAGATCTAGACACTAGGCTCCTATTGATGCAGGCCAAAATCCCATTGGCTTTTTTTGCCGCCACATCACATTGTTGGCTCATGTTTAACTTGTTGTCCACGAGGACTCCAAGATCTTTTTCACACGTACTGCTCTCGAGCCAGGCGTCACCCATTCTGTATCTTTGCATTTCATTTTTTCTGCCAAAGTGGAGTATCTTGCATTTGTCACTATTGAACTTCATTTTGTTAGTTTTGGCCCATCCAACTTGCCTCGGTGCTCCAGCCCTCGTGTCCAGGCAAAAATGCTAGCAATGGGGTTGGTGCTCGTTGGATTGCCCTTCTGGTGCTCCCGGTAGTGGCAGGTGACTGTGTCGTGTGCAGCTTCGGCTTCGATGGTCTTGCCATCTGGGCAGACAAGGATGGAGGTCATGAGGCGCAGTGAGCCAAACCCTTGGGCCAGGATGTCGGACTGGACGTCCCCATCATAGTTCTTGCAGGCCCAGACAAAGCCCCCCATTGACTTCAGCACCTGGGCCACCATGTCATCAATGAGACGGTGCTCGTACCAGATCTTGAGCTTGTCAAAATTAGTCTTGTAATGCTTCTCAAAGATCTCCTGGAAGACGTCCTTGAAGCGCCCGTCGTAGGCCTTGAGGATGGTGTCCTTGGTGCTCAAGTAGAGAGGCCACTTCTTCTGGATGGCATACTGGAAGTAGCTGTGGGCAAAGCCTGAGATGGACTCGTCCGTGTTGTACATGCCCATGCCGACTCCTCCGTCGGGGAAGTTGTAGACCTCCCATTCCTTGGCAGCACTGCCGTCCTTCGGGGTGAAGACCATCTTGAAGGTCCTGGACTTGTCCACCACGAAGTCGCCATGGGCGTGCCTGCCAATGGTGATGGGCTTTGTCCACCCGGGGACCAGGCGAGGGATGTTCTTGCAGATGATTGGCTCTCAGAAGACTGTCCCACCCAAGATGTTCCTGATGGTGCCATTGGGGCTCTTCCACATCTTCTTCAGCTTCGACCCTGGCCTCATCCGGGGTGATGGTGCACTTGACGGCCACGCTGTACTTCTGGGTAGTCAGGGCCGAGTCAATGGTGACCTGGTCGTCTGTCTGGTCGCGGTGGGGCAACCTCAGGTCAAAGTACTTCAGCTGGACGTGCACGTTGGGCAAGATGAGCTTCTCCTTGATGAAGGCCCAGATAATGCGGGTCATCTCATCCCTGTCCATTTCCACCACTGGGTTAGCCACCTTGATCCTCCGGTCAGCATAGAAAGACCCTGCAGAGGGTCAGTGTACAGTCAATGCTATACAAGTGCTGACATGAAGGGCACAGGGCCCCCATGAAAGTGAAAAAGTGTGACTAAAGAAATTGCTATATATTTTTTTTACTTGAAAGAACACCTCTCTAGGAATGCTTACATCTTCCAGCACAACTCTGTGGTCAGTGTCCGCTGAATGCTAAACACAGAATTGCACTGGAGGACCAAGAGAGATGTTTCAAGGTTCTCCAGGATGGCTAAAAGAAGTTGACAACAAAAGATCTAGAGCACTGGTTCTCAACGTGTGGGTCCTCAGGTGTTTTGGCCTACAACTCTCAGAAATCCCATCCATCTCACCAGCTGTTAGAAATAGTGGGAGCAGGAGTCCAAAACACCTGGAAAACCAAAAGTTAGGAACCACTGATCTAGAGAGAACACACCTAGAATCCTAGAATCATAGAATCAAAGAGTTGGAAGAGACCTCATGGGCCATCCAGTCCAACCCCCTGGCAAGAAGCAAGGATATTGCATTCAAATCACCCCTGACAGATGGCCATCCAGCCTCTGTTTAAAAGCTTCCAAAGAAGGAGCCTCCATCATGCTCCGGGGCAGAGAGTTCCACTGCTGAATGGCTCTCACAGTAAGGAAGTTCTTCCTCATGTTCAGATGGAATCTCCTCTAGGAATCTCTATTCTGTGATCACTCTCCAGTGGATTACATAGCATTGAGCCATGGTAGTTAAAGTGGTTAAAGCAGTGCCAAACTACATTACCTCTGTACTGTTGACACACACTGATTCCACAGAGCCAGTCCAGTTGATTCAGTGGCCGAACTCTACTTGAGACCGGCAATAAGATTTCAGACCATGCAACAGAGTGACACTTGTGGAACTTTGTTTACGCAGCTATGAACTAAATACATCCATGATATAGTGGTTCCCAAAAAGGTTGCTGTTGTTTGTTGTTAATATTTTATTTCTTACCTGTCCCTCATGGCTCAAGGTGAGTTATGATAATCATAAACATTATATAAAATACACATAGTAAAATGTGCCTGCCTCAGGGGAGCGTGCTTGCTCCATCCATGTTCAACATCTACACAAATGACCAGCCACTGCCAGAAGGGACAGAGAGTTTCATCTATGCTGATGATCGTGCCATTACTGCCCAAGCAGGGAGCTTTGAGATGGTAGAACAGAAGCTCTCCGAAGCTCTAGGTGCTCTTACTGCCTATTACAGGGAAAACCAACTGATCCCTAATCCATCTAAAACACAGACATGCGCCTTTCACCTTAAGAACAGACAAGCATCCCAAGCTCTGAGGATTACCTGGGAAGGAATCCCACTGGAGCATTGCAACACACCCAAATACCTGGGAGTCACTGGACCGTGCTCTGACCTACAAGAAGCACTGCCTGAACATCAAGCAAAAAGTGGGTGCTAGAAACAATATCATACGAAAGCTGACTGGCACAACCTGGGGATCACAACCAGATACAGTGAAGACATCAGCCCTTGCGCTGTGCTACTCTGCTGCTGAGTACGCATGCCCAGTGTGGAACACATCTCACCACACTAAAACAGTGGATGTGGCTCTTAATGAGACATGCCGCATTATCACAGGGTGTCTTCTGCGCCCCACAACACTGGAGAAATTACACTGCTTAGCCGGTATTGCACCACCTGACATCCGCCGGGAAGTAGCAGCCAATAGTGAAAGGACCAAGGCAGAGACATCTCCAGCTCATCCCTGTTTGGGTATCAGCCAGCACGTCAACGACTTAAATCAAGACATAGTTTTATTAGATCTACAGAGACACTCGCTGGAACACCCCAGCAAGCGAGAGTCCAAAAGTGGCAGGCCCAAACCCAGCACCTCAATCTGTGGGTGATACCAGATGAGGGACTCCCCCCTGGGCACACAGAGGACTGGGCGACTTGGAAGGTGCTGAACAAACTGTGCTCTGGCACCACGAGATGCAGAGCCAACCTTCAGAAATGGGGCCACAAAGTGGAATCCTCGACATGCGAGTGCGGAGAAGAGCAAACCACTGACCACCTGCTGCAATGCACCCTGAGCCCTGCCACATGCACAATGGAGGACCTTCTTGCGGCAACCCCAAAGGCACTCCAAGTGGCCAGATACTGGTCAAAGGACATTTAACCAAATACCAAATTTGCAAAATCTATGTGTTTTCTCTCTCTTCCTTTTTCTTTTTAATCTGTGTGTTTGTTTTGCTCTGTTAGAATTGTAATACAATGGTTGCTGATGACACGATAAATATAAATAAATAATGTATTTCTACAAAATACATATAGTAAAATACACAGAACAAAGATTAAAATAGAGTGAACACAAGACGGAAGTGTGTACGGCAGTGAAAAGAATTTCAGCCTAAATCTGAGGACACTTGGCTCACCCAGAAGGGCAAGTTGGGTGGGTACTGGTTAAGGGATGTTTAATTTACGAGGGAACTATTTGTTTTATTCTGGTTTAAAATGTTGTTTCTCTCCAGCAAGCCACTAAAGTAGGAAACAGTACTCCAGCCCTTTCCTTCCTTGATCACTACGATGCCGACAGACGCTTCCTTCCTGTATAAGGTCAGGATGACTTGGTCAAAGAAAGGAGAAGGCAAAGAAAGCAGAGGTGCCATTTGAATGAAGTTTTTTATTATTCCCAGAACATGGTCATGAGTTGATTCCATGATGCTGTATGAGTGAACCACTGCAATACCCATGAAGGTGAGATCGAGAGAGTTGCTTTAGGCATGCAAATCCCCAGCTGTCCTGATTTGGCAGCGGCAGCCCTCAGTCATCCTTTTGCAGTTGCTTTTAAAATGTACAGTTGTCCCTCCACTTTAGTGGGTTGGACTTGTTAGGGAAAACTACCCTAAAATATACAGCAGAGCATCCAAAAACAAACAGGATACAAAACTTGAGCATCATCTCATTAGTGAGCAGAGTGTGAAGTGCCATGTGATGTGGCTGTAAAGAATTAAGAGCTTAGGAGACAAACATGCAGAGTCCGATCTTAGGAAATCACAAAAGGTTTATTTACAACTAGCCATCCCCTGCCACGCGTTGCTGTGGCACACATGGGGGTTCTGTGTGGGAGGTTTGGCCCAGTTCTATCGTTGGTGGGATTCAGAATGCTCTGTGATTGTAGGTGAACTATAAATCCCAGTGCGCTAATTACTAGGCCTGGGTAACAACGGAAAAATTTGTTTCTAAAATCGATTCGTTTTTTGGGGGTTTTTGCGTTTCGTTATTTAAAATAATTACAAAATTTTCCTTTTAAAAAGTTCAATATTTACGAAATTTCGTAAATGTGAAAAAAATTGCAAAACATTAACGAATCGATTTCCGAAACAATAACGAATCGATTCGTTAATGGCGGACGCGACCGCGAAATACGCTAAAAAACCTCCAAAAACTTCTGAAGCTTCCCTCTCCCTCTGTTGTTGACTGTTGGTGTGATATTATAATTTTTTTCACTAATTAAACAAAAAACAACCATAAAACTTGCCCCAGACATGCGGAAATAATAACGAAACGACCTCAAAACAATAACGAAACGAATACAATAACGAAATACGAAGCATTTACAAAACTATTTAAAAATTCGTTTTTTTAAAAAAAATTGCTCCAGAATGGTTTGTTATCGTTTTGTAATTAAAAAAATTAACGAATTATTAACGAATTACGAATTAACGAAACGAAACCGCCCAGCCCTAGAGCCTAGGGATGATTATTGTTGTTACCAATTTGAAAGGAACCAAATTTACCATCAAGTTAGAAGGGAGGCTGTTCAATCGCACCTCTTCTTTTATTAAGATAGTAATAACTTAGTAGTAATTAAACGGTATGTATTGTAGCGTGACTGGAGATAAGAATGTATATCTATTTGGTCACTTTCCCCTGCGTTTCTGCCACCACGTGAGGTAAGTTATAATATTGTGTGAAATGGCACACTGGACGCAGAATTGATGGAGGTGAGGCAGTCTTCAAACAAAAGTTAACAAGTTTATTGAGCACAAAGCGTGTGGTTGCAAGTTGTAACTTTTCTTATAGAACTTAGAACAATGCTTGTAAGTTTAACAGTTCATTCTTTAAAGTAACACAGTATCTTCCTGACGTAGAGCGCTTGCTTCAGACAAAGTATCAATACAGGGATATTTCCCTTATTTGATCCTTCCTAGATCAAATTCTAAATAAGCTATTCTTTAGCCTCTCCTTGGACTAAAGAATTCCGGCTATGTTTCCCCCTTTCGGCTACCCTAGCCAGAGAAACTTTCAATAGCCAGACCCAGCTTTCCAAAGCCTCGAAACTTTGCTTCACAAGTCACTCAGCCACCTTTTCCTCTCCTTCTCTCTCAACTCCTCACTCTAACTCCTCACTGCTAAACCCTAACTCCTCACTCCTCGGAACCTAAAACCTAACTGAACATAAACTGTCGTTTTTCAAACTCTCCCCTCTAAGCTCCTCCCACTTCTCTCTCTAGCCTACATCGTCTCCATGGCAATGCACTCCTCTCAGTTAGGCCGCTCCAGCATTAGTGCAGCCAATCTAAACACAAATACAGTTAAAATCATACAATTTATAATCAACTTCTGTACACCCAACAACTACAACTCCCAAATGTCAAGATTCTATTTCCCCCAAACTCCACCAGTGTTCACATTTGGGCATATTGAGTATTCTTGTAGAGTTTGGTCCAGATCCATCATTGTTTGAGTCCACAGTGATCTCTGGATGTAGGTGAAATACAACTCCAAAACCAAAGGACACTGCCCACCAAACCCTTCCAGTATTTTCTGTTGGTCATGGGAGAACTGTGTGCCAAGTTTGGTTCAATTCCATCATTGGTGGGGTTCAGAATGCTCTTTGATTGTAGGTGAACTATAAATCCCAGCAACTACAACTCCCAAATGACAAAATCATTTTTTTTAGTGAAGGACATACATTGGGTTGTTAGGTGTCTTGTGTCCAAATTTGGTGTCAATTC